TTAGTTTTTGATACAGGATCTCTCCATATATTCCAGGCTGGCTTCGAATTCCACCACAATTTAAGTTGGGTTTTTTTTTCCTTTTTGAGACAGGGTCTTGCTATGTAGTTCACCCTGGCCCTGAACTCACTATGTAGCCGAGGCTGACCTCAAACTCCTGGCAATCTTCCTGCCTCAGCCTCCCAAGTGTTGGGATTACAGGTGTATACCACCAGGCCTAACTAGAGTAAAAAAAAAATTTTTTTAACTTCAGAAGAGCCCTTTTTTTTTTTTTTGAGACAGGCTGTTGCTAAATTTCCAAGGTTGGCCTCAAATTTGCTACTCTCCTTCCTCAGCCTCCCAAATGCTGGATGCATACCACCATGGTCAGCCTACAAAGCATCTCATGAAATGATTTTTAGATCTCAGAGAACCTGCATAAAAATTATACCTGCAGCCTATGTTCCATGATTAGTAAGACAGATATAACCAATAATTATAAGCAATGCCATTTTAAATAGACAGTGCTGAGGTGGTTTGTGCATTTTAGCTAACTCAGCACATTATTTTTGTGTGGTTCCCCCAACCCACATGGATATCAATGCAAATCAGTATTGCAGGTAAAATATTCATTAAAAATATCTTCCTTGATTATTTTGCATTATCCAAGAGGATCTCAAGTCTTTTTATGAGGGGCTGAGGACGTAGCTCCACGGCATAGCTCTTGCCTAGCATGTATGAGGTTCTGGGTTTGATTCTCCACACCATAAAAAAATAATTAGCACAAATTTCTATTCTACAGGATGCTAGTGAAGCACGGCATGTTGTGCATGCTTTTTCCCCATTACAAACTAAAAGAAAGTAACTTTCTGGCTGCACTTTTTTGTTGTTGTTTTTTGTTCTTTTTGGTTAGAGGCAAGTGCTCTACCACTAAGCTACGGGCCCAACTCTAACCAAAATTTCTTGAAAAACAATTTAAACAGTTAAGTTTAACCTACTTCTTTCTTTCTTTCTTTCTTTCTTTTTTTTGCTGTCCTGGGGATTGAACCCAGGTCCTTGTGGATGCCAGGCAAGTGCTCTACCACTGTTACACCCCTGGCCCTCACAATATTTTAAAACACCTTTACCAAAATATACTTCACATACCATATACTTCACCTACTGAAAATGTATAATTCAATGGCTTCTAGTACATCGGCAGGCAGTGCACCCATCACCACAGCCAATTTTAGAACATTTATCACCTCACAAGCAAACCCCATGCCTCTAGCTATGGTCTTCCTCCCCCACCCCCAGCCCAAGACACCACTAATCTCCTAAGTGGAATCAGAATATGTGGCCTCTTATGACTGCTTTCTTTCATTTAACATCATGATTTCAGGTTCATGCATGTGGTAGCATGGATACTTCCTTCTACAGCCATGCAAAATTCCATCATGTGTATTTACCATACCACATTTTGATTATAGATTCATGAAGTAGACAGTTATTTGTACATTTTGGCTATTATGAATACTTTTGCTATAAATATTTGTGTAACAGTTTCATGTGGACTTTTTTTTTTTGGTACTGGGGACTGAACTCCAGTCCTTGTGCTTTTGAGGCAGGAGGTAGAACCACTGAGCTAAATCCCCAGCCCTGGACTTTTTTTTTTGGTTTATTCATTCGTTTTATTTTCTTGAAACAGGATCTCTATGTAGCCCAGGTTGGCCTCACATTCATGGCAATCCTCCTGCCTCAGCTTCTCAGAATACTGGGGTGGCAGGTGTGTGCCACCACACCCAGCTCATGTGTTATCTTTATGTTCAGTCATTTCAGGAAGTGACAGGCTTTTTGGTTGTGCCATTTTCATTGCCACCAGCAGTATCCGATTTCTCTCTAACCACAGGGCCACTATTTGTCTTTCTAGTACAGTTCTATTAGTGGGTGTGAAGTGGTAGCTCCCTGTGGTTTGGGCTTGGATTTCCCTGATAACTAACCATGTCAGTATCTTTTCATGTGCTTCTTGGTCATTTCTATATGAAGAAATGTCGTCTCCAAACCTTTGCCTATGAAAACATTTTTAGCCTGGCTTAGTGGTGCATGCCTGTAATCCCAGCACTGGGGAGGCTGAAGCAGAAGGATCAGTGTGAATTTGAGGCCAGGTTGGGGTACATAGTGAGTTCAAAGCCAGGCTGAACTACATAGCAAGACCCTGTCTCAAAAAGAAAAACAAAACAAAAACAAAAGCAATTATAAATTGCAGTGCAATACACATAAAATTTACTATGTTCATTATTTTAAGTGTACAATTCAGTAGTGTTAAATATATTTACAGTGTTGTGCTTTGCCCATTTTTAAACGGCAATTTTTAGTGAGTTGTCTATACGTTCTTCTTCTCCGTTATTGAGTTTGAGTTCTAAGAGCTGGGTGGGCTGTTCCACCCACATCTGAGGACCCGCCCCGCCCCGCCAGCTCCGCAGTGGACCTCAAGACGGCTCCCCTGAGGGCCATAAAGTCAGAGACCCTGCAGCCACCCACACCCAGCGCTCCCCGCCCGCAGCCCCGGGCTTTCGTGGGGTGCTGCCACCCCGTGGAGCCAACTTTCACTTTGGTAAAACCCTGCTCTCTTTCTGCTCCCTTTGGTGTCCTACTCAGTTTGTTCAGGCCACCGAGAACCTGGGCGAGTAGCGGCCCGGCAGCGTCCCTGGCTGTGACCCGCGGAGGTGCCGCTCCTCGCACACTGGCTTGGCGCTTTGGATCTCGGATGCGGCTCAGCGCTTCAGGACCACACAGCCTTGCGCACTGGGAGACCCGGCCTCCTCCCCTGCTCCGCTTCTTTTCACATTACTAGAAAACAAGATCTAACTTTTGTTTAATTCATATGGACTTATTTTCCAAACTCTACCAAAGCAAATCATACCTTATGTTATTTTCCTTTACATATACTGGAAACGTTTTTGTGTGCCATTAAATAGGCTTCCTAACATGACACTTAGCGCCGGCATAATTTTCTGAAGTTGCACGTCACACGTTCAAGTTATTTTCCACAACAGTTTTCATAGCTCTGAATAGGGCTGCAACGAATATTCTGGTAAATAAACCTACTTCCTCTCTATCCCCTTAGGATAGGTTCCTTGAAGTGAGTTACTGAATGTAAGCATTCGAACGTTTAAAATCTCTATGTGAATGTACATATTTGTAAATATTATTTTAAAATGTCAGTGTGGCTGGGTGTCCTGCACATACCTGTAATCCCATTGCTCTGGGAGGCTGAGGCAGGAGGATCACAAGTTCAAACTCAGGTTGGGCAACTCGGTGACTTAGCAAGATCCTGTTTCAAAATATTTTTAAAAGGGCTGGGGCTGTAGCTCAGTGTGAAGGCCTCATTTTCAGTCCCTGGTACCATTAAATATCCATCCATCCATCCAGGCATCCATCCATTAAATGTGATTTGTGAAGAAATGGTATCATCCTTCGGTTTGCTACCAGAGCTTAGTGGGATTACTAATGTTTTAACAATTTGAGGGGGAAAATCAGGAGATGTTATGCAAAAAAGGATCTTCAACTCTCTCTTCAAAGATGACTCCTATAACTCAAGCTATATGCACACCCACCATTGCCAGAGATTAGGGGGCAATCCAGGAGCTGGACAGACTGGGCCTTGAAGTCAGCGCCTTTGAGTGTCATCTTGGGCCAGAATCACAGGAGGCGGTGGGAGGAGCACAGAGGGGTGCTTTGTGGGTCTCCTGAGGTCAGGAACAAGGCTCAACTTTTGTCTGCCCTGAAGGGAACACTCAACAGCCGACAGGGTCATGACAAATCCAGATGCTTGGAAACACAGTCGTTTGCCACTTAATGACATTTTGGTGAACAACAGACCACACAGTCATGTGGGACAGTGACCCACAAGGGTGCATCGCCTGGTGACGAACGTCAGGGCCACCTCGGAGTGTGTAGGTACACTCAACAATGATCGCACAGTAACAAGCCAATCAATGACACATTTCTCAGTATGGACCCTGTCGACGATGCAGGACTCTATTCCAAAATGTCAACAGAGGCCAGCCATGGTGGCACACACATGTAACGCTAGCACTCCAGAGGCTGAGGCAGGAGGATTGCCCTGAGTTCAAGTTTAAGGCCGAACTGGACTATATAGTGAGACCTTGTCTCATAAAAAAAAAATCAAAAGTAAAAATGCCAACAGAAACTATTACTGACTGATGGTATCACATATGATTTTCAGTTCTTTTTTTTTCTTGCCTTTTCTGTATTTTTGAAGTGGTTCATAATGACCATGTGTTACTTTAAAGAAGTCAACCCCCCTATTCTTTTCTTTCTTTTTTTTTAGAATAACAAAAAATATTTTACTATAACATAAGATTCACAGAAGTTTCCAGACAAGCTATACAAAATGGTCACAAGCTTTTTTTGAAGGGGGGAATCTACACTTGACAGCAAAGTCACAATGCTATTAGTGAGGGCTGTGATGTTTGTTAATGTTCCCATTTTGGTTCAATCAGCTTGTCCATCTATATCGTCTAAATAAAGTTAGACTTGACTAGAGAGCGTATTCTAGAGAATTGGTTGGCTGCTTTCTAACCAATGCAATTAGATCACCATAAAAGGGGGGGAAAGGAGCCCATAAAATTTTGAAACTACTTTTCCCCTCAAAAAATAAAATAAAGAATACCCATACCCCTCCAGCTAACCCTGACAACTACCTTCATTCACTGTGCTTTATACTTAAACCATGATGGGGGAAATGAATAAAAGCAGATGGCCGCTGTTTTTAAACGTTCCACAACAATCCTGATGATACTTTTAGCCTCTGCTCATGCTTTACAACAGTGAATCAGGACAAGACATAGATTTTTTAATGTGCATTTAATCACCAAAGGACTGAAAATGTCTGGGCTTTTATTCTGTAATGTTTCTAAGACCATGTCCATTAAATGCAAACAAAAAAGGAAGAAGTCTTGGCAGAACAGAAGTGACACAAACTTGATGATCGGATAGACTTAAATATTATTCATGGCTCATAGCCTAATCCATGCTCTAGCTGTTTCTACAGCTTGGGCTTCACTGGTCTTCCACTGCTTGGCTACATCGTTTGCTGGTGGGTCGTCTGGATCAGGGGCACTTAACAAAGCCTGGATCAAGAGCAGAACTGTGCAGATCTGCAGTGCTGGGGACCATTTATCTTTCAAACTATCTAAACATATTCTTCCCAACTTGTCTACATTAGGATGATAAATTTTGGTCATGAAATGTACTTTAGGTGCTGCCATTGTGTATTCTTCTGGATGAAATAGTTCAAGTTTAAAAGTCCCTCCCTCAAAGGGGGAATCCTGGGGGCCAGCAATGACCACATGAAAATAACAGGTGTTGCTCTCATCTGGTTCTGCTTTAATGCCAGGAACTGGTTCTGCCAGCAAACGCTGGGTTTCCTTGATGATCCTTCGGGGCAGCCCGGCCATCTTGTCAGATCCCGTCTTCGGCCTGGTCGCGTCTCTGGACCCCCTATCCTTTGCTGGATTGTTTTAACAGGGCCTCGCTATGTAGTCCAGGCTGGCCTCAAACTTGCAGTGATCCTCGTGCCTCAGCCTCCCAGGCATACATTACCACCTTTTTTTTTTTTTTTTCCTGGCTTGTGTTTTTATTTTTTTTTTTCCTATGGTTTTTATTCTCTTCAGAACATATCAGGCATTTAATATGCCTGTAATAGTATGGTTTTTTGTTTTGTTTTGTTTTTGCCATACTGGAGATCGAACTCAGGACCTTGCACTTGTAAGGCAGGGACGGCTGCGCCACTGAGCTAAATCCCTGGCCCTCTTTCTTTTTAAATGCGTTTTTAAAAACCCAGCCCCAGTCAGCTAGCAGCCCTCCCTCCCAAGGCCAGCAGATGCCTCATGCTAAGCTCCCCCAGCAGGGCGAACCCAGCCCACCTGCAGCTGCGGCTCCCAGAAGGCTGCAGCGATCAGCGGGGCTGCCCGGCAGTGCACAGCTGTGTTCCCCGCCGCCAGCGGGCTGGGGAGAGCAGAGATGCGGAGCCCAGAACTGCCAAGGGGGACCCCGGCCGGTCCGGGCCTCTAGCCCAGGATCCTCAGGTCCCCCGCAGCCCTGGAGCTCCTAGGTCACTGAGCCCTGGGCTCAGCCAGGCTGCAAAAGGGAGTCACGGAGGAAGCAGCTCAAGACCCTGCAGCCTGTGCCCCTCGACTTGGAGCCGGTCCTGACGTGGCGCGGGGCTCTAACGGGACTCGACTCTCTGCTCAGCGCCTCCGGAGCATCTCGGGGCCGCCGCGGACCCGGTACAGACCCGGGGTAACAAGCAGCGGGCGTCACCGCCCACACGGGGAGGCCTGGCCCACTGGTCTCTCTGTATTGGGAGTGTTTGCGGGGCGTGACGATCGCGCTCCTCGTGGGGAACCGGCATGCTTACAGCACACACCCTCATCCTCTCTACGTCTCCACCCTCCTCTCTGCCTCCCCCCACCTCTTGGTCCTCCCTTTTTCCTGTTATCTTTTATTTTGCTCTTTCATTTATTTAATTGGTTTCTCTTATATGAGAAATATGATATTTAAGCTTGTGTCTGATTTGTTTCACTTAACATTATGGTTTCAAGGTGCATCCATTTTCCTACAGAAGGCTCAAATCGATCCATCTTCATGGCAGAATAGTACTCCACTATGTGTACTACATACCATGCTTTCTGTCTGTACCCATCTGCTGGTAGCTGAGGGGCTCACTAGGATTTCCTCAGTCATCCTCATCCTCAGCTGACTCACGTGGGGTGAGGGGAGTGGGGAGGTACCATCTCTGCTTTGCAGCCCAGAACACAGGCCCAGAAGGATGACAGGAATTGCAGGTGTGAGATAAGCTAGAACTATAATCTGACTTAATTCCTGGGGCCCCCAGGGGCAGCCCCCTTCCCCGGGGAGCCACTGGGTAAGCCTGTCCCGAAGGGCCTCTGAGACCTGCATTTCTCAGCAGCCCATGGGTCAGTTCACCTGAGGCATGGGCAAGTGTTCCAAATTTTAGAAGCTCCTCAGGGGCTCATTATGGACACTGAATCATTCCAGGTGACTCTGCTGAGGTGACCTGAGGCTCCAGATAACGATTTAAAGCCTATTTTTAGGGAGCCAGGTGTGATGTTAGCTACATGTAATCCCAGCTGCTCAGGAGGCTGAGGCAGGAGAATCCCGAGCTCAGGGCCAGCCTGGGTAACATAGAGAGACTCTGTCTCAAAAATAAAATGTGTGTGTGGGGATAATACTAAGTTGAAGAGGGCTGAGCCGAAAACTCAACAAAAATTGTAACTAATATCTCAAGAGGCCGGGGATTTAGCCAAGTGGTTTCACTGCCTGCTGCACAAGCACAAGGACCTGAGTTCAATCCCCGGTACCAAAAAAATCTCGAGAGATAAGCTACCACCTTCATTAGGCTATAATACAGTGGTATTTAATGTTTTTTGATATCAGAAATCAAACTCAGGGCCTCCCACTTGCCAGGCAGGCGCTGTGCCACTGAGCTACATTCCTGGCTCTTTAATTTAATTAATTAATTAATTAATTAATTTATTGGTACCAGGGACTGAACTCAGGACCTTGAGCTTGTGAGGCAGGTGCCATGCCACTGAGCTAAATCCCCGGTTCCTGGCTCTTTAATTTAAAAAAGAATGACACCATTGAAAAAGAAGAGGCCATGGAGATAGCTGACCATGTTCTGGTGCTGGTGTTTTTTAAGCCAAGAAGTCACTCTGCACCGCAGCTAAGTGCATACGAAATATGAAAACCTATCTGGACTTGCAAAGTAAAAAAATGAACCCAACAATGGCCAGACAACAGTGCGGTCCTTCCTCAAAGCCACCGTGGGCCAAACTGGAAGCCGAGTCCTTCTTCCTGCAGCAAGAAGGCAGGGAAAGGAGCTCTGGGGCAGATGGGAGCCTTCAGGCCTGTGGAAAACCATGCCAGGGGGTGCTATACAGAGCTGCTGGGATACAGGAGAAGATGTGGGCGGAGGTCCTGAGAAAGCTCAACACAGGGCAGAGTGAAACAAACAAAAAGTTCTGTTAAAAAAAAAATGTGCCCAGGTGTGGTGGTGCTCCAAGGTAGTCCCAGCACTCAGAGGCTGAGGCAGGAGGATCACCGTGAGTTCAAGGCCAGCCTGAATTACAGAGCAACACCCTGTCTCAACAAACAAACAAACAAAATAAGAAAGCAAAAGCCCTTTTCTGCCACAACGGAAGTCAGTGGACTAATGGATGAATAATGAATAAGACCAATTATCAAGAGATGGTAGAATGTGAATATTTTAAGTATAGAAATAAAAGGTAATTTTAAGAAATGAAATCAATTGACAGTAGTTGAGGAGGGGAGAAGGGGGAGATGCAGATTAATGATTTTATGATAGATTTTTAGTTATCGTTAGACTTTAAAAACCATCTGCATACATTATTTTGGTTAAACACACATCTTGTAGCTTCCAAAGGTAATTCTAAGAATTTATAACCTGATAGTGCTGCTTGGTTGAATTTCAGACAGAGGAAACTTGCAGCACAAACAGCCAATAAAATGTTTGCAGGTAGAATAAAAACTTTTTAGAAAGAATTACAGATAAATGGGGTGAGAGCAAATATGAAAGAAAAATGAGCAATTATATGAGCAAGAACTCATGAATGCTTCATAAATACATGAAAAGTTTCTCACTAGAAATCAGAGACATAAATTAAAAGCACAATAAGACACCATTTTGATTTTTGTCTCTTTAAATCAATGACTTCTAAAAAAAATAAATCAATGACTTCTAAATGAAAAATAAAAGCTGATACAAGGCACGGTGGTACACCCCTGTAATCCAACCACTATGGGAGGCTGAGGCAGGGGGATGACAAGTTTGAGCCCACCTTGGGCAACTTAATGACTTAGGGAGACCCTGTCTTGAAATTTTAAAAGGGGCTGGAGATGCATCTCAGTGGTAGAGCCAACATCCAAGATGCTGAAGCAGGAGGACCTCCATGAGTTTGAGGCCAGCCTAGGATACAAAGCAAGACCCTGCATCCAAAAAAAAAAGAAAACAAAAGAAAAACAAAAACCTCAGGAAAATTAAAGAATTAAATGTAGATGGCCCCTGACTTCAAATTTTTGTCTTGACAATGGTACAAAAGTGGACAGCCATTCTGTTTTTCACTTTCAGTACAGTACTCAATAAATTACATGAGATATTTGGCACTTTTAGGGCTAGGCTGTAACTCCGTGGTACAGTGCTTCCTTAGCATGTTCCAGGCCCTGGGTTCAATTTCAGTAACACACACACACACACGCACACACACACACAGATATTCAACACTTTAGTATAAAATACTGTTAGATGATTTTGTCCAACTGTGGGTAAATATAAGGCTAAGATAAGTGAGCACATTTAAAGTGGGATAGGCTAAGCAATGATGTTCATGGGTCAGGTTTGCATTAGGCAGCTTTCCTGTGGCTGGGACATTACACCCAACAATACCCAACACCTACAACTTGGAGGAAAGGTTGATTCTGGCTCATGGGTTTTAGAGGATTCAGTCCATAGCTGGTTCCAAGGCAGGAAGGAAGGGTACAGAGGAAGGGTCTGGCAGAAGAGAGCTGCTCAGGTCATGGCGGCAGGAAACTGAGAAGGGAGGAGGCAGGGAGCAGGTGAGAGCCCTCAGGTCTCTCCCCAGTGCCTGCCTCTTCTGATTAGAGGCCACTCAACAGCACAATCAACTCTGAATTCTTCTATGGGTTAAGCCATGGGCGAATATAGCACCCCTATGATCCAATCACTGTCCTTAAATCCCACCGCAGAACTTATGGGACTTTTGGGCACCATGTTAGATCTAAACAATAACAGGTGTATTAAATGCATTTTCACTCAGGATATTCTCAGCCTGCAATGGTTTGATTGGGAAGTAGCCCCACTGTAAGCTGAGGAGCAGGTGCGTTTTTTAGTCACCATGGTACCCTTTCCAGGGAACAGGATGTCTCCTCACTCCTCTCTAAGGAGACAGCGGGGCATCCAGGGTTCTCATGAGCCTCGGCCCCCAGCAAGAGTCTGACGTAAAGAAGGACGAATCTTAGAGACCTGTGGGAATGATCACTGGCCAACAAGGGAACCTCAGTGAGAATCACAGAAAACAGTTTTTGAGAAAACGATATAAGTAGGCACAATGCCAGCTTGGACTGAAAGGGACAGAGATGTACAAAATAGAAAATTCCGACCTTCTTCCAAATCTTCACTGTAGGAAGTGGGCAGAGGAAGTAAACAGTTGTGACACTTGTCACCTTTCACGGTGCACTGGGGACGGCTTCCAGGAGGACCAGCAGCCCAAGGGTGCAACCAAAAGCCACAGAGAATCATCCTGGGCCTTGAACCCTCACCAAGGGACTGGTGACACTTAGCTGGTGGGAGTGTGGAATTCCTGTGGCCCAGTAAAAAGTTTCTTCTGATCTTTGTTCCCAGTTTTTGAGCAGG